GGCGATGCTGAGACGCTGATGCATAGTCGGCATGCTTTATAGAAAGAGCTGATGGCGATGCTGAGACGCTGATGCATAGTCGGCATGGTTTATAGAAAGAGAAGCAAAGGAGCTCAGCTGCTTTCGATCCGCATCAAGCCCGTTGTACACTGTACCTTAAGAAACAGCCCTAGCTGCATTCTGCCCCCGTGCCGCAAATGGTGCTCCTCCCGCAACTGGAAATGGTTACCGGGCACGCAAGGGGTTGGGTGGGGCATGGAAAAGACGGAAAGGGAATGATTTTCGAGGCATTCTACGTGGGTTGAATCCCAGTACATGGACGCCACATGTCGTGTGGCTTGCTTGCCCCGTTAGCTTTGTCGACTCGAATCGAAGTACATGGATGGGTGCAACGACAAAGCTAACGGGGCAAGCAAGCCACACGTCGCTCTTGCGAGCGATTTGGGGAACTCTAAGTCCACAAAAACCTTTTCACGCCTAACCACATGTGGTGTGGGAGGGTGATGTGGGTGCTTTGGAGGGCAGGTGGGGGATGCAGAGGGGGGACGTGTTTCGGGTGTGCCTGGACAAACCTGCAGACGGACACATGCCGTGGTTGTGGCAGTGGCAGTGGCAGTGGCTGTGGCTGTGGCACGAAATTTGAGGATTCTCGGAGAACTCTCGCATCAAAGCGTACACGGTGCAAAGAATGGGTACCTTGAAGAAGAGGTGCCGCATGCAGGGAGGAAAAGACTACCCCTAGCCCGAGACGAGCCGACACAGGTGTGTAGTTACTTGCCTACTGCAGCTCGCCCAGTCCTAATGGCAAAGAATGCGTACCTTGAAGAAGAGGTGTCGCATGCAGAGCGGAAAAGACTGCCGCGCCACAACGTCCAAATCACGGAGCGACACCTCAGCAGTCTCGCCAGGCTGGCAGAGCAGTGGAGAGACAGGGGGGGGAGAGACGGATGGGGGAGGAGGGTTAGGGAAGGAGAGGAGGATTGGGGAGGGAAAGGAGGGGAAAAAGGAGGAGATGAGATTTGAGTTGACTCCAACCAAGCTGCCTCAGAAGTCTCTATTTGACCTCAGGTCAAATGGAGGCCTCTCTGCTTGAAGTTAGTTGTATTACCTGGGAGAAGTCAGGGCCTAGATAGCGTGTGCTGAGAGCCTCAATCACTGGTGTCAGGCGTTCTTGCTCGTCTTCTTGTATGTGGGCAAGCCACTTCCTGGAGGACGGTGACGGGGTGGGGAGGAAGAAGGGATGAGCAGCAGTGACCGGCTTCAGGCGTTCTTGCTCGTCTTCTTGTATGTGGGCGAGCCACTTCCTGGGAGACAGGAGGGGACAAAATGGAAACGGAAGGGAAAGATCAATGCAATGTGAATGTCAGAAAAAAAAAATATGAGATGGAAATAGTGATTAGACGTGAATCAATCAAACGGAAATATCAATGAGATGTGAAATAACAGACGATACTGCTCAAATAGGAAACCAAAACACCGCATCCATACCATTAACTCTCTCATAAACTTTCTTCTCATCAAAATTCCAAGATTCACCTGTTGGTTGCCACGAGTGCTTTGGACAGCTTGGCTCGAAATTGACCAACCACAATGGCCGCCAGCTGGCACACACGGACCGGCACGCGTCAGAGAAGGGGACGGATCATTGTCTGAGGAGCCTAAAAGAACAAGCCATGTTTATGAGGCGCATCACAAGCTATGTTTATGAGGCGCATCACAAGCTAGTGCTCTGGTTAGACTGGCTATTAAGTTGACGTTTTGTTTGCGTCTGACAGCTCAAGCTATGTTCATGAGGCGCATCACAAGCTAGTGCTCTGGTTAGCTAAGCTTGGGACTGACCCACCACAATGGCCACCAGCCACACTCAGCAATGAGGGAAAAAAAATCACAGCCATGGGAGTGAGGGAGAGGAGAACGCATTAATTCATTAACACAAGAAACATGCAATCCCATACCTGGTCGCTGGGGACTTTTTTGAGTCGACTCAAAATCGACTTACTATGTGAGGAAGAGGAGAACACATTGATTCATTAACACAAAGAACATGCAATCCCATACCTGGTCTCTGGGGACAAAGGCAAAGCCCTTTTCGAGATAAACCCTGCGAGAAGCCACCAAATCAGGAACCTCCTCGAATGGAACCTGCCACGAAGGAGAGATCGGATGGGGGATGCGGGGATAGATGATGAGACATACGCGTTACTGCCTCCGAATACCTGCCATGCCAGTAAGCGAGCAATCTAACAAGGAAAAAAACCAGAAAGTATGCACTCCAGCGAGTTTCCACAGAAACTAAAGGATGTACCTTGTTGTAGACACTGTCAACTGGAGCTATCACGCCGTCGCAGATTTACCTCACAAGTTTACCTTGCATACGTGCGTGCAAAATTCACAACGAATGGACTTACCTTGTAGAAGACACTGTCGACTGGAGCAGTCGTGCCATACAGGTTGCCATGACGAAATGGGCAGGTTGGAAGGGCGGGCAGGTTGGAAAAGTGGCAGGATGGAAAGGGTTAGGTTGGACAATCCACAGACATGTGCCAGGACTGTTTGGGAGACGTCGCGCCAAAAAGAAACAACAGTGATAAAGAAGATGGGGACCAGTCATTGAAGGCGCCACCACTTGGTGACAGAATTATCAGAGAAAGGTAAAAACAAGATTGGACTGGCTGTAAATCGTTGGGAATAATTTGGTCTTTTGAAGGTAAATTACCATTTGGAACAGGTAGGTTTAGGGACCTGGCCACTTGAGTGAGCTTCTCTCGCACTCCCTGTGTTAGTGAAGGGGAGAAAGAGAGGTGGGAAGGAGAAATGACTATTGCATTGAACATGGGGACTCAGGCTAATTGGGATTGACGTTTGAAGTGGGACAAACGAGCGCAAGCAAGAGGCTGGCATGATACTTAGCTAAACGCCAGTAACTTAAGATTCACCCATAACCTAAACAGTACACATTGCACTTGCCGTCATCTCTGCTGCGCCAATAGCACGATAGGGAAGGCCATTGCTCTCCAAAAACCACCTCTGATCAGCGAGAAAGACGGTGGGGAGCGGAGGAACCAGGGGGAAAAGGGAGGAACGGAGGGAAAGACGATAACATGCAATAGATTCACATGCAGTGGTGTAGAACGAAGGAGGCAGTTTTATTCTCTGGCGGTTAGACCCTCACTTGATCGTCTAAACGCCCCACTAATTGTCTGAAGTGCCCACACGCTGTGGAGATTTCCCATTACTCTCTGGAATGTATCCAATTAGTATATGGAAACTCACTTGGTTTTCAGGCGTCTCAGCACGGAATCTGTGGCGGATAGAGCCGATTCGTGCGCCAACATCCAGAGATAATATTGTTATTCAATCGTCTGTCTGTACATGTCAACTAAAGAATCGACTCACCTGGTTTTCAGGGGTCTCAGCTCGGAACCTGTGGCGGAATAGAGCCGATTCTTGCGCCAACAACCACCGCCGTAGCTCCTCCCTGAACCACCGCCAAGTGAATAATGGACCACTTAAGGGGTACAACATTGCGAGCCGAGTGATGCGAACCCTTAGGCGACAGTAGGGAATGTTTGAAATGTCTCTAACGACTCATGTGCGACAATAGGCGAGGCGTCTCAAAAGGCTCACGTGCGACAGTAGGCGAGTCGCAGGATGTAGTGCGATATGACGTCTTTGCGACGAGCGTCAGCCAATGAGCATCCAGCTCGCATGTACTTCCGCCATATGTCTGACACCTGCGAAACAAAGCGTGGTGCGTGTAAATAGCAACACCAGAATCTGAGCCTGTCTGATGCCACCGAGAGACAGAAGTATCATGATCTGGCACGAAATACGGGAACTACCATCAATTGGCACGAAAGAAACGGCGTGACGCTATCATGCAAGCTCCTACCTGGCTAAACGTTTCCGCCAATCTTTCAGAGGTAGGACGCACATACCATGCTGTCGAGCTCGTCCACCTTTGTTCCGCGCGCCTTGGCGTCGTCGATCGCCTTGAGCACTGCGCACGGAAAAACAAGACTCGCTTCAGATTCCGTTACAAACGAGTGGACAGGCCACGACGAGCCGTGAACCGGACCTACGCGACGAATCTCAGACCGTCCTTTGACCCGTTCGATTCTATCCTGCACGCTTCGGGAGCCAACCGTTTTCCAGACATGTTATTGCAAAACAGATATCTAGGCTTTTTTTTTCTAATGCTAGCTCACCCCGGAGCCGGTCCAGCGCGAACTCCTCGAATTGCTCCATGGCCACCTCTTCCCCCACCGGCGCCTCGTCGTACATCGACAGCTGGCACGCGGAAGCTCCGCCGCTTCCTGCGGAGGATTTCCATCCCGACAGACCTACGCCGCGACCGTCGGCGCCGACCGTGCCGGGACCCTGCGCTACTGAAGGTGCGGCTCGTTTTCGTGAGGTTACGTTGAAATCCATTGGGCAAAGGTATAGTGACGCCGAACAAACGTGACGTTGGCTGGGAAACGAAGCGGTATGCGAATCCAATATAGGGCCGAGAAAAAGGAATCCAAGGTCATGCGCTTCTAGATGTCACAATGTTGTACACGAAGACTAATCTATCCGACTAAATCTAGAGCCAGAAAGTCGTCGGCCTCTCAGACCTGGATTTGGCACGCGGCTAAAGAGCTTGAGAATGAAACGCGCATTTGGTGACTTCACTTCCCAGCATCACTCAGTTCTAACTTCACCAAAGAACAGGCTGAGCGAGGAAGAAGGAAGAATGAAGCGACTGGTGAAAGCGAAACTCGAATCCTTCCATTCCAAGGAATGGCTCGAGGATAGACAGAGCGGCAGAAAAGAGTTGGCGGGAAAACGGACTCGAGAATTCAAAGCTGCAAATTTCGCGGCATTGGGATTCGCAGTACTCCATAAGGATGGATCGATTACAGTAGAACGCGGTACACACTTAATGGATGCAAAAACACTTCTTCCGTAAAACTACATTCTCAAACCCTATCTCGAGCATGTGTCGTGTTTTCCTTGCCGTGTGATGTTGGAGTATCCACGGACAGAAGCCAGAGAGCGCTGGCAAATACGCCCCCCCTGTTCCTTTCCCGCCTTCCCCCCAGGCTGTCGTTCGTCCTTCGCACCGACAAGCCACGCGGTAGGCGCACCAATGGTGATGGCGGTGGGGCCACTGGCCAGCCAACTATTTTCCGCCACCTGCCTGAACCAGCGCTTTTCTCCAGCTTTCATTCCGCGCCCACGTCCGCGGGCTGCGACTCGCGCACATCAGCACAACTTGCGCCAGACGGATTTACCACACCCAACCCACCACCGTGCCCCCCCAACACGGGCAGGAAGGCTCCCTCGATCTTCCAGTGATGGCTGCCGCCAATCTTCCCCGCACCCAGCAAGACCTCCCCCTATCTCCAACCCGCCGTCACTTTGGAATGCCGCGTTTCCCCGAGTCTCTCCACCTTTCCGCTTTCCGCCTCCCCCGGTCTTCAGTTTCATCAGTCCGACTTCTCGACTTATCCGCCTATCAACATCCATCTCCCCTCAAGGGTGCCCTGCATGCATCTCGTTGCTGTTCGGTTTGTTGCGTTCCAAAACGGCGAGCAGAAACTACCGTGTTCAAACCTGAGGAACCTCATTGAACCGTATGTTAGGAGCCATATTTCAAAGCACTGGACATACTGGATTACTCCTGCATACAACCCGAAGAACCATCATTCACGTTCGTAGCACGTCAAGTCTCCAAAATTAGTTCCAGCTTCACTTTGTTTCTTTCTTCGAGCAGCAAGTTTTCGCCATCTACACCAGAGGTCCTGACTCGTTTTAGGAACCGCTTAGCAACAAGTTCACTCGTTTCTCGCGTTGTGTAGCCGCGGTTTCTTACTCCAATTTAGCTCATCCTAGTTCCCGAATCCCGAGCATAGAGGACAAATGTCGAACGAGGAAGACTCGCTAGTTTTAGTAGACTGCGGAGACGCGTACGTCCTCCTCTACGATTCTAAGTACCAATCCGTTGAAGAGGCAATAGTCGACAGCGCCGGACGCGCCTTGGCGAGCGACGTGGCGCTACCTTCGCCGGAAACTGCTCATGTAACCGACGGTGCTGCACACTCCTCGCAACTCGACGCCTTGCCAGAAGATTCAGTCTACGAATCGCAGCAAGCTGAAGGACCGGCGGAATTTCCGGATAGTCTTGACACTGACGCGCAGGCTTCTGTTGTTCGTGATAGTAACGGAGCAGCGATACCGGGTTCGCGACCAGACTTACAGGCGTTACAACAAGAGTCGGAGACGTTATCCGGGTCCTCTGGTTCTGCTGGCGCGGCGAAGCAGGTTCTCTCGTTGCATCGTTTGAAGCAAATCAGCCTGCGAGGGGGGAAGAAAGGCGCGAAATGGATCCGGCGAACAGTCGATGTGGTAACCAACGGGAAAGGCAAGACGTTTTTTCTGTCGGGGCTGAAAGGCGCCGGAAGTGCGGGAGGGACCGAAAAGGCAGGAGGCAGCGGCGATTTGGAGTCGTTGTCGCAAACTTGTAGCGAGGATGATGTGATGCCGAGGCTTATAAACTTAACGCGCGCGCTTAGCAGAGTCACGGAAGCTGAGAGCTGGCAGGAGAGAGGGGAATCGTGCGACTTGCGCAATCGCCTGACGCGAATTGCGGATCTCGAGTCTGCCGCGCTCGAGATTTCCGGCAGTCTCCCCCCATCGAGTGCGCTTGTAACGGGTATATATAACTCGTTTTATGGAGATAATATTCTTGACGATACTGTAGATGGCAGTGCGGATATGGCGAGCTACAGTGATTTCGGTATCTCGTTTGATATGGTTGGGAAGGCCAGGGCAAGCGGGGAGGAGCAGGTGAGTTTTACTGATAAGTTCAGGCAAGTGGGGAAGCGGAACCAAATGCATATCAACGCGATAAGGAGGGCCAAGGAGAGGAGTCGCTCTGCCTCGTTAGAAGGCCAACTGCTGGACTCTATAGCGGAGCACAGCAACTCCAACCGTACGAGTGGCAGACAGAGTGAAAATAACGAAGGGGCTTCTAGCGAGGCGCGGGAGGCAGGGGAAAACGGAGCAGGTACCGGATTGGAGGAGGATTGTGATTTAGGGAATGAAGGACACGTGGACATGGCGAGCTACAGTGATTATGGCTTATCGTTTGATATGGTGGGGAAGGGCGGGGCGAATGGTGGGGAGAAGGTGGGATTTACGGATAAGTTCAGGCAAGTAGGAAAGCGGAACCAGATGCATATCAACGCGTTTCGGAGGGACAAGGGCAGGGACAGGCACGGCGGTGACTCGATAGTGGGTGGGTTGGAGGACTCTATAACGGTGCAATCCGGTTCCAAGGTTGGTGAAAGGGGCGGGGGCGAGGGCGTAAACCCAAGCTGCGAAAAGCAGAGTTCCAGTGAAGCGGTTCGCATGGGTATTGATGGAGATGTTGTTAGTGGGAGCAGGGGGGGCAGTGCTAGTACTGGTAGCAAGAGTGACTGTAACGAGCGAGTAGCAGTGGCAGGGGAAAGCACGGTTGGTGACAAGGATGGGGAACAGCAGGCTGGTGAGGGGGACGCTGGGGGAGGCGCTGGGGGGAGCGCTGATGGTGGTGGATCTCAGGGAGGGCATGCTGAGCCCTTGGCATCCATCTCGTTCAGAACAGCAGCGGATTCTCTCCCCCGCACTGAAGCATCTGCGTCCCTTGCTTGCACAGAAGCGGTCCCGTCCCTCCCCCGCATGGAAGCATCTGCGGAATCGTCTTCTGGGAGCTTGCTGGCGTCATCGGTTCTCCCCCCGGCCCTGCTGGCAGTGCTGGGCAATAAGGGAGAAACAATCTCGGGGAAATGTGAGGCCGCCTGGGGGGGCTCATCTGATGCTTCAGCGACTTTTGCGACGACTGGAGATTCGGCCGAAAGGGAGTTGAGGGATGAGTGTGGCTTGGCAGGACAGCAGAAGCTGGCCCCCACTGGCGGGGGCTACAGTGGCGGGGCAGAAGCTGCAGCAGTAGCCGCTCCAGTGGGGGCTACAGTGGCTCCAGTGGGGGCTACAGTGGCTCCAGTGGATGCTACAGCAGTTGCAGCAACCACACCAGTAGCTACAGCCGCTGCAGCAGCAATAGCAGCAACTATCGCTGCCGAATTGGTAACAGCAGTCAATTCCCCCCAGTTACATCCTGCTGCCGAGTCAGCTGACTCAGCTCCAACTCATGCACGCGCTTTTGAGTCACCGCCAGGTCAGCAGCCCCGCCGTCTGTCTGTCCCCTGCCGGCCGACCTCGGCCGCCAGGTGGCGTGCTACGTGTGGCCTGCCTTCTCGTGTGTCCATCGAGAGAGATGCTGAGCTGGCTGCCAGGCTGGCAGAAATCCGAGCTGGATACGCTGGGCGGTGGGTGGGAGAGGATAAGATCGAGCGGGAGGGCTCGGGGGTTCATACGAGCAGCGGCCGCAGCTTGGGGAGCAGCAATTGTGACAGTAACGCGAGTGACTGTAGGGGGGGGGGAGGGGTACGGGTCACATCAAGGGACGTCAGTGCTCTTATCACAGCACTCACCCGTGGAAGGTAGACAATCTCAGGAGCACACTAGGACTATGCAAGACCGAGTGCAGCGCAGCTGTGAGGATGCGTTACCGGATCAGTTAGACAGTCCCCAGGAGAGACAGACTGCGGAAGAAGGGAGAAAAGGAGGGGCGGTGGGGGAGGGGGGCGGGGCTGGGGGAGGAGGTGAGACAGGGAGAGGGAGAAGTTGAGGAGAGGGCGGGGTTGGTGGAGGAAAAGGGGGAGGTAGAGGGAGAAGTGTTGGTGGAGGAAGTGGCAGTCACTCTGGAGAGGATTGAAGCAGCTTTCAGTCGATTCAGTAGCGTTGTGGAGTCGTGTGAACGAGGAGAGGGAGAAGAGGAAGGGGAGGGAGAAGGAAAAAGGGAGGGAGAAGGAAAAAGGGAGGGAGAAGGAAAAGGGGAGGGAGAAGGAAAAGGGGAGGGAGAAAGAAAAGGAGAGGGAGAAGGAAAAGGAGAGGGTAAAAGGGAAGGAGAGGGGGAAGGGGAAGGTGAGGAAAGCGAAGGGAAAGGAGAGACTGAAGAAAATGTTGAGGTAGGAGAGGGAGAGGAGGGAGGAGTGAGAGTAGAGGGAGGGGAAGGAGGGGAAGGAGGGGAAGGAGGGGAAGGAAGGGAAGGAGGGGAAGGAGGGGAAGGAGGGGAAGGAGGGGAAGGAGGGGAAGGAGGGGAAGGAGGGGAAGGAGGGGAAGGAGGGGAAGGAGGGGAAGGAGGGGAAGGAGGGGAAGGAGGGGAAGGAGGGGAAGGAGGGGAAGGAGGGGAAGGAGGGGAAGGAGGGGAAGGAGGGGAAGGAGGGGAAGGAGGGGAAGGAGGGGAAGGAGGGGAAGGAGGGGAAGGAGGGGAAGGAGGGGAAGGAGGGGAAGGAGGGGAAGGAGGGGAAGGAGGGGAAGGAGGGGAAGGAGGGGAAGGAGGGGAAGGAGGGGAAGGAGGGGAAGGAGGGGAAGGAGGGGAAGGAGGGGAAGGAGGGGAAGGAGGGGAAGGAGGGGAAGGAGGGGAAGGAGGGGAAGGAGGGGAAGGAGGGGAAGGAGGGGAAGGAGGGGAAGGAGGGGAAGGAGGGGAAGGAGGGGAAGGAGGGGAAGGAGGGGAAGGAGGGGAAGGAGGGGAAGGAGGGGAAGGAGGGGAAGGAGGGGAAGGAGGGGAAGGAGGGGAAGGAGGGGAAGGAGGGGAAGGAGGGGAAGGAGGGGAAGGACATGAAGACGTGGCAATGGCAGTGGGCAGGATAGAGGAGGCATTCAACCGACTCAGCAGCCATGTTGATGAGCTGGCTTCTCTCAAAGCACAACAGGCCGCTTCTACTGCCACTGCTGCTGCTGTACCTGCTGCTGCTGCCACTACTGCTACTGCTGCCACTGCTGGGAATGCAACTGCTGCCACTGATGCTATTGTGGGGAATGCGGCTGCCCCTGCTGCCACGGCTGGCAATCCAGTGAAGAGGGTGTATAGTATCCGAGTGAAACCCGCTCACATGCATGCTGCTGTGAGGGCAGCGGTGCGAGCCGTGCAGGCTGTGCCGTGGGGTCAGGTGGAGGAGAGGCAACGAGGCACTACGAAAGAGGGAAGGGACGGGGCGGATTGGCAAGGGTTTGGAGCGCAAGGGGCAGCAGTGGGGGCCGTGCAGGCTGTGCCACGGGGCGAGGTGGGGCAAGGGGAGAAGAGGCTAGGGGCGCAAGGGGAAAGGATGCAAGGAGTGGACGGGCGAGGCATCTCAAGTGCAGAAGCAGCAGAGGAAGCAAGTGCAGGAGAGGCAAGAAGTGCAGGGGAGGCAAGAAGTGCAGGAGAGGCTGCTTCTTTTAAGGGGTTAGTGCAAGGCCAGCTGCCACCCACCAGCGTTAGTGCTGAAAATGCCGCTTGTGATCTGAACGCACCTGCTGCATCCAACGGCCCTGATGCATCTGCAGGATTCAACGGCCCAGATGCCCCGGCTGTGTTGCCAGATCCAGATTTCCTGCCTCCTGGGGTAACAGGTGATGGTCATGTGGAGTATGCCCCTGTACCGTTCTCAACCGTTGGGTTTCCTGCAGAATCATCGCTCTGCTCCGATGAGGATATACTTGCAGCAGCAGCGATGGTCGAGGCAGCCATAGGGAGTTTCGCTGCAGATTCCAGGGTAATTTACCCTTCCAAAAAAAGGGAAGGGGGAGGGGGAGGGGCTGGGGGAGGAGCAGGGGGGACGGGAAGTGGAGTGATGCGAGTGCCGGCAAAAGTGGTGGCAGAGGGAGGGGTAGGGCCGGGGATGATCGTGAGGAGAAAAGCGGGTCAAGCCCCCCGCATGTGGGCTGTCCCTACCATGGACTTAGAATCCGCTCTAGAGGCCGCTATGGGGGCGGCTGATCGGGTGGAGAAGGGCCCTCTCGAGGCTACTTGTGAAGCCACTTCTGAGGCGCCTCAAAAGGTCCCCCGCATGTGGGCTGTCCCTACCATGGACCTGGAATCCGCTCTAGAGGCCGCTATGAGGGCGGCTGATCGGGTGGCTGGAAGGGTGGAGAAGGGGGTTTGTTGTGAGGCAGAGGCAGCAAAGCCAACGCAGCAGCACAGTGTCACGGCTGAGAGCGCTGAGATGAGAGGAGGGAGGGAGCAGGTCCAGACTATGGGTCTGGGTTCGGGGCCAGAGGCGGCTGTGGGGGTGGCTGATAGGGTAGAGCAGGGGGGTTGTGACATGATGGGTCAGAGGAGAGGCGGGAGGGAGCAGGTCCAAAAGATGAGTCTGGATTCGGCCCGACGCATGTGGGGTGTTCCGAGTATGGATCTAGAATCGGCTCTAGAGGCTGCTGTGGGGTTGGCTGATAGGGTGGCGAAGAGGGCGAGTGTTGAAACGAACCAGGGGCATGCTGTAACGCGTATGGAGGTGGACAGGTGTGAGATGGAGCGTGACGGTGCTGCTTCAGCTGGGGTTGCGTTTGGAGGAGTGGGAGAGGGAGAGGGAGAGGGAGAGGGAGAGAGAGCAGAGGTGGGAGAGAGTGTGGGTAGGGTGGGATCGTTTGCTTTCAGTGTTGGGGTGGAAGCAAGGCGTGACTCGGGTGTCAGCAGCACTGTTGCTGGTGGCGGCGGTGCTGCTGCTGCATTGGAAGCAAGTTTGAGGGAACAGTACAGAGACAGTCGAGGAGATAGCAGAGGAGAGAGCAGTTTTTCCCATTCTCTTACGCCGCCTGGGTGGATTTTTCCATCCACCGCTTATGACGCTCTTGAGGATGCTCTTAGCGAGTATGACGCTAGGAGTGTGAGCATTGGCAGCAGAATCAGCAGCTCTAAGGGGGGAGGAGGGTCGGGGTTTCCGATTTCCTGCCTGGGAGGGGGGTTTGGGAGAAAGCGGAAGGGGAAGAGGAAGGGGAGGGGGAAAGGGAAAGGGGAGAAGAAGGGGGAGGGAAAAGGGGAGAGGAAAGGGGATGGGAATGGGAAGGGGCGAGGGGGGAGCAATGCAGAGCAGGATAAACATGCAGGTCCTGCCATTGCCGCTGCTACTGCTGTTACTGCTGTTGATGCTGCTGCTGCTGCTGTTGGAACGGAGATGGAATTTGGGGGGGATAGTTTGGCAGGAAAGAGTTACTGGGAAGGTGAAGGGTATTGGGAAGATGAGGGAGGGAAGGAACGTGGTGAACGTGAGGAAAACGAATGGAACGAAGGAGCGGAGGAAGAGAAAGCGGATGGGGAGGAGGAGGAGGAGGAGGAGGAAGAGGAGGAGGAAGAGGCGGAAGAGGGGGAAGAGGAGGATGGGGATTCAGATTGGGATGAGGAGGAAGACGATGCAAGCTCAGAAAGCAACAGCATGTTCATGCTCCCAGTGCCCATACTCGACCTATCTGATGGCTTCTCACTCTCCTTTCCTCTCGAAGCCTTTGCCAGCTCTCGGTTAAACGCTGGCGCTCAGCTAAGCAACGGAGGGAACAGCGGGATATTCAGGACTGGAGAGGACCCGTCGTTTGACGGATCCTTTCGAAGCCTTTTGGACAGCAGCAGGAGTGATTGTAACGATGGTAGTAACCAGTTGGCAAGCAGCCCTGGCGAAGGTGGTAACCATGTTACGACAGCAGATGGTAACCCTGGTATCATGAGCCCTTTGCCTTCCCATCTGAAGCACGGTTCTGGTAACCAGAATCCCTTCGGGCAGTGTCTTGGGTTGAAGGGAAAGGGGAAGAGGAGTGAAACTGGTGCTTCTGGTGATACTGCAACTGCTGCTGCAGCTGCTGCTGCTGGTGCTGTTTATGAAGGTGATGTTACTGCTGCCGCTGGTGCTACTGCTGTTTGTGCTGGTGATGCTGCTGCTGCAATTGCTGGCACAGGCCGCACAGCATCTCTCTCCACCGCATCAAGCGCTAGCACCACTGCACCTGCCCCATCCAGCCCCTCATGTCTCAGCCCCAGGTTATTATCGGTTCCCGAGTCTGCTAAAAGGAGCGGCCTTTCCAGCCCTTCGTGCCTCAGCCCAAGGTTCGCAGCAGTGCTCAAGTCCCTGAGCAGGCCTGCCGGGGCGTCTAAGGCTAATGCAAGTCCAGAGCGACAGGAGAAGGTGGATGCAGCAACAAGGCGGCTGCTGCAGCTGCAGGAGCATCTGAGGCGGCTGAGCAGACAAGGGCTCATTGCGGGGGATGGGGAGGACGAGGCTGGTGGGAGAGGGAGTGAGGGAGTGAGAGAGGAGGGCGCTTTGGAGAGCCAGGGGGTACAGGGGGTATGTCAGGGGGTGTGCCGGGGGGTAAACGATGGGGACCTTGTGGTTGAGGAGGACAGGGATAGCGCTGCTGAGAGCCAGGGGGTAGGGCAGGGAGTAGGGCAGGGAGTATGCCAGGGGGGTGTTCAGGGGCTAGAGCAGGAAGCAGAGCAAGGGATCATCCCAGGGGGTGACTCGCATATCAATGGAATCAGGCAGGAAATCGTTCCTGAGGGCCAGACAAACGAGTTGACCTTTGGGTCGACTCAAGAGCCAAGGGATGACTTGCACGTCAATGGAATGGGCCAGGGGGTTGAGCCTGAGGGGGACCTTGAGGGCAATGGGTGGGACATGGAGAGCCAGGGAGACAGTGGCAGCTTGGGGGTAAGCAGCAGTGGTGGTGGCAGCAGCAGGAGTGAGGGGCCTTGTGCGCGTGGGGATGCTGCTGTGCTGGCGGGAAACGCTAAGCATAGGGAAGCTCCTGCTGCTGCCTCGGCTACTGCTGCTGGTTTGGCTGCTGATACATTGGCTGTTGGTGATGCAGCAGCTGCTGCTGTGCAGGGTAGCAGTGGGGAGAGAGCCAGTGGAATCCCACGAAGCATCAGTGCAGATGGGGCTGAGAGTGCAGCTAGTGCGTGTGAGTCCGAAAGTAGCTATTGCACTGCCAGGTGTGACAGTGTTGCCGCATGGAGTTCTGCTAGCTCTGCTGCTGCAGCTCCTGCTGCTTCTTCTACCTTTCCTGCTGCTGCTCCTGTCTCTGCTGCTGCTGCTGCTGCTGCTGCTGCTGGCACCTCAGTTGGCGTCAATGCCAACTGCGAGAGCGTTTCAGCCGCCCTTCCAAGGAGCGTCAGTACCGGCAGTGCTGCTTGCAACAACGACAGTTTGAACAGCATCGACAGCATCAGCAGTATTTCGAGCAGCGCGAACAGCATCAAAAGCAGCACTAGGCCCCGGGTCCCTCCCCTCTCTTCCACACTCTTGGACTACCACCCCCCTACAGGTCGCCGATTACCTACATCACACTCCTACTCCTCACCCTCTGTACAGTCACGCTCACGTACCAGCCCCGATTCCTCTCCCCCTGTACAAGCGCGCTTGCACGCCACTTCCCCATGTTTGCCATCCCCCATACAAGCACACTCGTTTGCCGAAGTGTCTTCTCTTTTGCAGCGGTCACCAGGGCAGGCTAGTGTGAGTGGAGCTGCCGGTGCAGGTGGGAAGGATGGTGGGAAGGGGGGGTCGATAGCTAGAGTGCCCAAGAGCAAAATCTTGTCACTGTTGAAGGGAGGAAAGGTGCAGGAGGGGCACGGAAAAGGGCACGGGGATGGGAAGGGGCAGGGGGAGAGAGAGAAGGGACAGGAGGAAAGAGGGAACGGACAGGAGGAGAGACAATCAGGGCATGAGGCGAAGGCAGACGGCATGAGACCATGGAGAATGAAGGGTGGTAAAAACAAGTTTTAGGACAGGTCAATGTCTTACTGTTAGATTATATGTATTGTAGCTAGCTCTTTCCAATGTTTCATTATTGCTACCATAGTACCGGTATGCATTTGTGTAAATCAAGCAAATGAAAGCTCCCACTGGAGAGGTGCTTATGGTGCGGCGCTGCCTGTGTTGCTGCGATCAGAAGTTGATCGTGGCCTTGGATCTACTCAGGAAGGTTCGCACGCAGAGAAGTGATGTTGGTGGGCCCTTGACCTCAACAGCAGAGTGAAAGTAAAATGCTTTGAGATGATTTGAAACATGCAAATACAGCAAATATAAATATGAGTACAGGGGAGATGAAACGACCTAGCTAGCCATGTACTCTAAGGGGTACATTCCCTTATTCAAATACATTCCCAACCGTGCGGCGCGAACAGTTACGAAACTGTTCCCGCCAAAACCATCCTGCTTGCAGCTGCTTGATGCCGTCTGCTCCGACGGTCCAGATGCGTCCCAATTGTCTGACGCTTCGAGTCGATTCCAACCGTCTGACGCTTCGCGTTCATTCGCCATACTGCGTGCTTCTCTTTGCTGCGGTGAGGAGTGCACAGTAATATTCAAGTATTACTATTCGTAACACCCCCCTTCACTCCTGGCCGTAGCTCGACTTGACCTGCTTGACCACGCCGCTGAGTTCGGAGCAGTGCTGATACTGCTGGCGTGGCAGTCGCTTCGTGAGGAAGGGTGCTGCCATGTCACCGGTCGGGCAGTAGGTCAAGTTGACCTTGCCCTTGTCCACCTCATCCTTCACGAAGAAGTACCGCAGCGCAATGTGCTTGGTGCGGTTGACGAAACCAGGTTTGTTCGCGATGCGAATCGCGCTCTGGTTGTCGCAGTGAAGGCGAAATGTGGGCGAAGCTGGAATTTTCGCCCCTTGCAGGAGTTCCTGCAAGTAGAGGCCTTCGCGAACTGTTGCGGTTGCTGCGATGAATTCCGCTTCGGCTGACGACAGGGCAACCAGCTCCTGCTTCTGCGAGTTCCAGGAGATTGGTCCCATTGGCTCGAGTCGGAACATGAAGCCAGTCCTGGACCGTCGATTTTCGGGGTCTGCTGCGTGATCGGCGTCCACATAGCCGATGAGGTTGAAGGATGGAGTTGGTGCAGTTGAGTAGCACAGCCCAATCTTGGGCGTTGAAACGAAGAACTGAAGGGCGCATTGCAGATCCAGAAGATTCTCAGCCGATGGTTTGCGTGAGTACTGCGCCAGCTGACTGGCGATGTACGAGAGGTCTGGCCTGCAGGTGACAGAGGCGAAGAGGAGGCATCCCAACTACTGCTGGTAAGTCTGAATCCCAACAGGGGATAGGGGTTTGTTGACGGGTTTGTGGTTCGGTCCGGGAGTTCGGTAGGGAGTTGAGAGAGGTGCAGGTGAAATGTTGAACCGCTTCCCTAACTCCTCTGCGTACTTAGCCGCTGAGAGATGAATGGCCTCAGGCGCGTAGGAGATGTTGAGGCCTAGAAACTGCTTCACCTCGTAGTTGCACGTGATGTCGACGCGCCCCGCCAAGGCCTTCTCGAACTGCTCGAGAAGCTCGTTGTTTGAGCCTGTGTAAAGCAGGTCGTCGACGTACACCGTGAGGAGAATGTATTCCTTGCGGAATTGCGGCGAAATGTGGGCGAAATGTGGGCGAAATGCGGCGGACAGGAGGTTGAAGCGCAGGTTCTGGATGATCAGCACATCGCTAAGCGTGATGTGCGTGCGCCTTCCACGTGCTTTGACCACGACAATGCCTTGTGCGCTTGCGCGCAGGCGCGTGTTGTTCGCCACAGTGACGTAAGTGACTGTAGGGGTGGGGACGGCGTTGGATATGTAACTCTCGGAGCCCACCATATGCTGGCCACAGCAGCTGTCTAGGTACCAGGTGTTGTAGCGCTTGTTGTCGTCACGTGCGAGCAGCGTCAATCGCGGTGTAACGATGTGCGGGGTGTCCAACTTCAGAAATTGCTCGCGCGAGAGCCAATCAAGTGGCGCCACCCGCATGTCTGGTATGTGCGGGGGACTTTCAAGCAGCGAGACTGGGAGGTTCCAGTCCTGGTCGTCGTCGTCGTTGAAGTCGCGGCGCGGGTTGAACGGGTTGTTGTTGGTGAACGCGCCGATGGGGTGCGGTGCTGGCTCAGGTGAGGGTGAGCGAACACGGCGACGACGTGACTCACCGGTCATGGCCATGTTGCTCATGACGTTGCGCGTAGGGGCAGTTGATGGCTGCTGCTGCTGATGCTGAACGGTTGAGTTCAGATTGCGCGCGGGTGGGGGTTGATACCCTTGGGCTGGACGCACGTCGCCTCGTGCGTCTTGTCGGCCGGACCAGTTGCTCGGATTGGTCTGGCGAGGGCGAGATCGGAACTTACATCGACCCGCCAAATGCCCAAAGTTTCTGCAGATTTTGCATTAAAGGCGCCGCGGTCGTCGCTCTTCATTGTTGTCGGCGTAGAAGGCGAGCCGTTCGCGTTCTCGTCGTGGCGCTGGTCGCTGCTCATCCATGTCCCGTTGTTCGACGAGAAGGGCGGCGCAAAGGGCGGCCTCCGAGATGACCCCCTTACTGTCGGAGGAGCGCCTTGCAGGGCCGCCACTCTGGGCCAAGCCCTTGAAGCACAATGTTCACGAAGATTTCCTCGGAAATCGAGCTTCCCAACTTCACGATTTGATCGCGAAGGCTTCGACAGCGGTTGATGTAGCTGTTGAACTTCTCCCCTGAGGTCATCTTAGTTTCCAGCAATTGCTGGAGTAGTCGGCTCGAGGAGACGGAGTCCTTGGGCTGATACACGCCGTTTAGGTGGCGCCAAGCGTCAAGGGCTAGGGCAGCCGATGTCTTGTATGAACGAATGTTCAGCTGCTCCGCCGGCGACATGTTATGCAGAAGAATCTCGTACGCCATCAGGGACTCGTTATAATAGCGAGTCCTGGCGTCGTCGGTGTCCTCAGCGGTCCCGAGTAGCTCACGTCGAAATAATGATAAATCTGCGCATTTTGCAGCACCAGCTCCAGCTCGAAGCTCCAGGTGCAAAAGTCTCTGCCGTCAAAGCACACACTTGTCTTTATTCTTGATATGCTAAAAAACCTTGATTGCGCGGAGAGAACTGCTTCATCGCTGGGACAGGGAGTCTTGGGGGTTGAGCCATTCGTATCTAGGGAGAAGCCTTGCGGGGCGAAGTTTTGGCCGTTTCACGCCGGTTGAGTGGGTTGGGAAGAGGTTCCCGCGTCGCCATTCCGCAATGTTCGGAGTCCTTGCTCCAGGCTCGTGAGTCGCTGAAGCAGTTGTGCGAGGACGGCGGAAGGGATCGTCGTCGTTTCATCGCTTGTCGCAGCCGGGTTGGGCTGCGCTTCAGCCGTCAGATTTGTCTGACCACCAGATCCTCCGGCCATTCTCACACGCGAGCGTGTGCCGGACGACACTTTCCGAATGTCGCAATTTTCGGGAGTGGTAGTACGAAGGATTCCCGAGCCGCTCTCATACCATGCTGCGATCAGAAGTTGATCGTGGCCTAGGATATACTCAGGAAGGTTCGCACGCAGAGAAGTGATGTTGGTGGGCCCTTGACCTCAATAGCAGAGTGAATGTAAAATGCTTTGAGATGATTTGAAACATGCAAATATAGCAAATATAAATATGAGTACAGGGGAGATGAAACGACCTAGCTAGCCATGTACTCTAAGGGGTACATTCCCATATTCAAATACATTCCCAACCATGCGGCGTGAACAGTTACAAAACTGTTCCCGCCGAAACCATCCTGCCTGCAGCTGCCTAATGCTGTCTGCTCCGACGGTCCAGATGCGTCCCAACTGTCTGACGCTTCGAGTCGATTCCAACCGTCTGACGCTCCGCGTTCATTCTGTGAGAATTGAGGAATGAAATGACTAAGGGAAATGTGGGTACAAGTAGGAAATCTAGAAATGTTGTACCCTATAGTGTCTACCCCACTACAGCCTAGATAGACCATAGCATATAAGTTTGACACAACCCCATAAGCAAAGTGGGGGAGAACAAGAGGTCACGGGACCAGTCAAGCAAAGCAAAGCAAGCTCAGGGTGGATCACAACGTCACCACACAATCCGAGCACAAGAGCAAGGCCAAAAGGCCAGCTCACATGCAAGATCATATATAAACGTAAACAAGCAAGTGCACGTATAGCAAGATCACCGTACAAGCAAGGTCAAGAAGTGAGCAAGTGAGGCCAAGTAGGCACAAGACCTAGCATCGAACAGAAACGCTGATGATATCAAGGCGGAAGTGCCTTAGTAAAGATATCATGAGTGTTGGCCTCAGAAGCCACGTAAGCAAGGCGCAGCTGACCACGCTACTATAGCTCACAAGCAAGGAAGTAGCGAAGAGCAATATGCTTCGTTCTGTGCTCCAATCTGTGCTCCCGACACAAGACCAGCATGGCCTTGTTGTCTACGTACAGATGTGGAGGAGAACGAGGCGACTCTCCTAGGTCAGTTAGCAGGTAGGTGAGCCAGCGTAGCTCCTGTGCAGCCATGGCCCCCGCGTGGATCTCAGCCTCACAATTGGAGCCGAGAACAGAAGACGAGCGGGTAGACCGCCACGAAACAGAGCCGGAGCCAAGGCTGAAGGTGTAACCCTGTGACGACTGCTGTAGAGCCTGGTCGTCAGCCCAAGAAGCGTCAGCGTGACCTGTGAGGACCACTCGACCTCGCCCTCCAAGCACTAGCCCCATGCCCGACGTACTGCACAAGTAGCGCAACACCCTCTTCGCTGCAGCCATATGCTCTGGCCTGTGTCTGCCAGGAGCAACATAGCGTGCCAATATGCTAAGAGGGTATGCAAGGTCAGGTCGTGTGTAGGTCATCATGTACATGAGGGAGCCAACAAGCTCTGGGTACGGGCCACTCGGCTCTATGGACTCATCCAAAGGCAGAGCTGAGAGCAAGTGGCGAGTAGACAGAGGAGTGGCCTGAGGCGAGGAGTACGTGAAGTCGAAGCCCTGAAGGACCTGCTGCACCATGTGTGAC